AGCACAAACAAGAGCCTGATACCAGCCGTGCTGCCGCACTCTGCACAACTTGTGTCTCTTCCTCCCACTCTTTTTGCTTTGAAATAGCACCGAAATGTCCCCACCACCCCGAGCGGTGAGGGGAAGTTCATTGAATACTACACAGCCTTCACACGCTGCTGCACGGCAAGCCGTGCGAGTAGCTCAGAAAAAAAGGAGTTGGGCATTTTGTTTCCAGGCTGGGGAAAGATTATGAGCCCAGACTGCTGGCGATGGGGCGCTGTGCTGTAAAAGACGGCAGAAACGTGGGCAGAGACCCGGGGACAGGGACAAACAGCAGGGCACGTTTTTATAGGCGTCCCGATGCATAAAGGCACTGCTGTAGGCACAGCCGGGATCCTACCTGCCGCTGCGACCACAGAATAAACACGGCCAACAGGGCTGGATATTACACATTAGCAAATATTCCCGATGTTATAGAGCAGTGTGGGAGAGAGGAGCTGCACGGAGCTAAGTCAACACATACCACGAGGTAGATAGGCACGGCAGGCACTCAGGCGGTGTAGTGCGTCCTGCACCGCAAAGCCAGGCCGTCCAGCCAAAAAGGCTTCTGGAAGGCTGCAGATAACCAGAGGGAGAAAGGAGCTGCACGTGGTAGGTGCCAGTTTGGGTCCCCAAATAGCTGTAAGTATCAAGATAGCCCCTGGGATGCCAGCGGAGGTCAGCTGGAGATCACTGGGATGGCAGCAGGGCCTCATGCGAAGCCTATAGAGGGTCACTGACAAACCGTTCCTGATAACGGGGATGCCAGGAGTTACTAGCGGTGATTAACAAGGTCCTGCCAGTGCCTAAAGGGACTACAAGAAAGTTGAGGAGGGACTCTGTCAGGGGGTGTAGTGACAGGACAAGGGGGAATGGCTTTAAACTAAAAGAGGGGAGGTTTAGATTAGATATGAGGAAAAAATTCACTCAGAGGGTGGTGAGGCACTGAACAGGCTGCCCAGAGAAGCTGTGGCTGCCCCATCCCTGGAGATGCCCAAGGCCAGGCTGGATGGGGCTTTGGGCAGCCTGGGCTGTGGGAGGTGTCCCTGCCATGGCAGGGGTTGGAACTGGGTGGGCTTTGAGGTCCCTTCCAACCCAAACCATTCTGTGAGCCTATGACTACTCATTACCCCAGAAGCCTTCCAGTATGACACCAGGCTCAAAGCATGCAACATAAAAGCCAGGTGCTGGCCAGGAATGAAAGACTGACCCTGTGGGCTTGGGGACACCCAGCGGGACCACAGATGGAGAGAGCAGAGCAGCAGGAGCTGCTGGTCCCTGGAGAGCGCAGGCGGCACGAAGGGGACACCCGCCGGCAAGGTGAGTCAGCAGCTCGGGGCTGTAAATGCCAAGCTCCCCGTTAACGTGACTTGTGAGGAGAAAGGATTTATTGCAGCTGGCATTTCTAGCTGAAAACAATTTACCTTAGCCTTTTAATGTTAAGCTATGCATACACAGCTAGCTGGGAAAAAAAAAAAAAAAAAAGAAGAAGAAAAAAAAAGACGTGAAATATCGTGGTATTAGCTTTAGGAGAAGATTAGCTGACGGAGCCTTTGCTGTGTTTTTTTTTTCAGACCTTAAGGCCTGAGTGATGCATTAGGAAGCACACGCTTTTCCCTCAGCTATGACATGTAAGGGTATGTCTGGAATGTGTGTCTATGGGTGCCTACCACCCTCACATTATCAACATGATACACCAAACTTTGCTTTTTCCTTATTTTCATCTTTTTTTTTTTTTCTTTTTTTTTTTTCTCCAGAAGTGATCAGATATCATTAAAGAACTGGAGAGCTTGGGCTCAGCATCACATGAAGCACTAAGCACGATCTCTCCGAGCTGACCTGCCTTCCTCCTGACAGCCCTCTCGCAGTAATACGAACCCTGCGAACACTGAAGTACAGACTGTGGAGAAGATCCTAAGCCCAAAATTGAGCTGTGGATCCCAACCAAGCTCAGGAATGTTTTGTGTTTCTTCCAGCTACCCAGGCCAGGTCTCCAGTTGCTGCAAATGAGCAGAAGAGCGTTTGCAGTGCCCAAACTCTTGTTCCCCATCCCCTCTAAAGAGAAGGCAGGGAGCCAAGCCCCACATGCTGGCCAGGTCCAGCCCGCAGGCCACCAGCTGCAGCTCCGTGGTCTCTCCCAACCACGGGGAGTTTGCAGGATGCTCTGCTGAGCTTGCTGCCATCCTCACAGGGCTGGAGGGGAGGCACCAGGCTGCCAGCACGGGGCTGGGTGCTCTGAGGGGGTGCAGAAAAGAGCAATGCTGAAACCCAGGGTCCACAGTGACTGGGTGCAGCTTTCCTGGCAGACAGGCTGATGGGGGGCTCTCTGGGCAAGAAGGGGGAACCACAGGCAGGGCAGCAGGCTCAGGCAGGAGAAAGGAAAATGAAATCCAAATTTATTTTATCATGCCAGCCCCTAACCTCCCTGGGACATGTCAGCACATACACATACACCTCCCCTTTATGCAGGTCCATTCACCGAGGTCCTCAGAGCACTTAAACGTCAGCTTTCTGGGGAGCTCCCCTCAACCTTTGTTTATAAAGGGGGTAAACAGAAAGGTTAAGAGAAATGGCTGTGATCTGCCTCTTCAGAGAGGCAGAAGCGAGCTGCTGCAGAGGAGTGCTGAAAACGTTCACTCTCGTCTCTAAAATAAACAACCAGGAAAATTAGGCTGTCATCTGTCAAGTAACAAACTAGTCCCCAAATAAAAATTTTCAGCCCAGAGCCCTCAAGTCCCTCTCCAGCTATCTGGTAGCATTTAACGTGTTCTTTAAACACCCTGTGTACACTCGGGACTTCTCTGCAACGTGCAGTGGGCTTTGTGTATCAAAATGGCACATGGGTCTCTAAAGGGAAAGCGTTAGATGAACATCTCAGATGTTTAGTTTCAAATGTCAGACCAATTTAAAATTAAGACCGTATCACGAGTGTGTTTTCCAAGAGTGACATATAAAAGTATGTATCTATCCATGCAGCAAAAAAAAAAAAAAAAAAGGCTCAGAGCCTATGAACATCAAGTGTACAGCTGTATTAATTCTTGCTTTCACCACACAGGTGAAAGCATAACCAAAAATCAAAGAGAAATGTGTTGGCTTCCTGTATATTAGAAGTCTGTGACACTAATCCATGTATATGAAAGGATTTGCGAAGGAATCTGTAGAGAATCACGTCTCGTATTTGTGAAGTGCTAAGAAGAATTGCAAACAATGAAGATAAAAAAAAAAATCAAAAGAAAGAAAGCTTCTGACTCTAAAGGATTTTTAATCCTAGGCACGTTCAGTCTCATTTCATTCATAGCCTGAGCCAAGCCACAAAATTTGGGTCTGACCATTTCCCAAAGTTCAGAGCATTTCGAATCCAAAGATTTTGGTTTGGACCCAGCACTAGCGCTGTTACTCTATGGGTCAAATATCTTATTATAATGATAGTAAACAGCAAGAGAAAGCTCTCAGCCTGGCCAGGGCTCCCTCTGCCAGTTAATCACAGAAAATGTTCACAGCAGTGGAGCGAAGGCCGGTGCTGCGGACACCAGAACCAGCCACAAACACTGTGGCACTTACTTAGCAGGTTGGTAGAGTAGTGTCTGCTCCCTGGGTTAAATAAATTCAAAGGCTAAAGCAAAAAGCCAATTAATTACTGTTGCTGAGGTCTCAAAAAGAGCCTTTAAGCTGTCCTTGCATTCAAATCCAGTCCTGACCCCACCACTTTGGGCCACCTGCTTTTAGATGTTTCCATTCATGTATCTACAGAGACACCTTCCATTCATATCCCTCTGCCTCACCAGTTCAAGTGGAAGGCAGCAAGGATCACACACAACTGAATTAAATCTGAATTAAGCTGCATACAAACTCTGGTAGGAAGGGAACGACTGTCAGCCACAGAACAGCCCTGCTTCGTGCAAGGACATGAACAGGAGAAGCAGCTACGAGCAGGGACTGCTGTAAACAGCAGAAAGGGAAGTACACAGAGCTGCAGAACGTATCACAGCAACAAATAACAAAAAAACACGCACAGAAGCAAACACCTTTTGTACTTCTGCAGATGTATACGCTTCCCTCTGAAGATCTTAAAGCGCTTCTAAAATGTCTTACCATCACAAATGGTGTTTGCTGTCATTTTAATGACAGGGAAACGGAGGCGATGGTGATGGATGCCCAGGGTGCTGATGGAGCTGGGGCAGGGCAGAGAACCCGAGCTCTCCCCAGCCCCTCACACCTTGCTGGATGAGACCCAGCTACAGCCTAGGTAAACCACAAAAACATAATTTGTCTGAAAACTTATCTCATTAAAAAGCCTAAATTGTGGCTTCTAAAGCCTAACCACTTGGCTCTTCATCTCATCTTTATGCATTACCAGCAGTGTAATTTTCTATCCCACTTTCCTTGTGCAGTTCCCACTGCAGTAAGTGGGTTCAGTGGAGGGTCTCTGCCTGCACGCAAAGCAAGAGCTTGACCTGGCAAGCACAAACGAGCACTGGGCTTTGTCTGCAGGAACAAGTTGTTATGGTTCGTTTTAAAACCCTGAAGGAGGCACAGGATGTCTAAGAAAAACATACTGTGGGGCTGAATGAATGGGGCATCAATTTCCTTGACAGAGATGTCCTGCCTGGCTGCTCTGCTCCTCTTGTATTTTTGATACACAGTTTGGTGCCTTCATTCTGTGATAGTGGGACCTCTGCCAGGTGTTGCTACAGGCATTCATAGAGAAAGGCTTCAAGTGTGAAATCAACCCAGTTTTCTCCTTTTTTTTTTTTTTTTTTTCAGAGCAGGGAACTCTCTTTGTGATCCAAATAAACCTTGAAGAAGGCTCCAAGCCAACTTCGTCACTGTTTGCTCTTACGTAACTGGACTCGGAACACTCAGTACCCAGCAGTAACAACAATTTGCCTATATACTGAAAAAAAAAAACCTACATTTATTTTGAACTTATCAGTAGCAAAAGCCTGTCATCTTTGGACATCATCCACTAGGACTGCCCAAGACAACTTATCTGTGATTTTTGGGTGCCAACAACAATGGACACGGTATTGTCCACATTTATCAGAACGGATTTGTTACTCGAGATGCAGATAATAGAAAACAATTCCTTGCCTAGTGGGACCAAATATTTTTCTGCTGAACTAAAGTGACTTTTTTTATATTATATCCATGCATGAAATCCGTGGCTCCAGGAATTCAAAGCAGTACTTTGCATTCGCTCCTCAGGGCACAGATGAGCACAGCTGAAACCTGTCCACACGGATTAGCTTCCACCTTTGCTTCGTATTAGAGCAAACGAGGCAGAAGCCACAACCACCTCTTGTTTCCACTCAGGTCATCTCCCAGACTGTCCTGCTTCATACATCGCAGGAGGAACTCAAGATTTCAAGCTCTGCGAGCGGCTGCCTGCAGGAGGAGCTCAAGAGTGAGGGATGCTGCCAGCTTGGTCCCCAGCACAGACAGCGCTGTCCTGAGCCAGGTCCGCTGCCAGGCCCACTGGGGTCAGCCTGAGCATCACAGGCTTAGCCTAAATCCTGGCTGGTGTCTGCTGATAAAGAATATAGGAGGGAAAAAAAAATCTCCCCAACTTTCCCCCTGGGTTGCAGACTTACTGCTGGAGATTTCTCCCCCCTGGGAGAGGGGAGGGCAGGTCTCTGGCTCTGAAAGCAGAGCTCCTCTGCACCCAGCTGGGAGATGGGCAGCAATGGGCGAGGGGAGGCTTTGCACCTCCTGATTTAAGCACCTGACCTTTGTGCCTTTGGGAACGCACTGAGTGGGCAAACCCCATAGCCTGTGGGGATTCCCAATACAGGAGTCCCTCTGGGGTGGGTGGGTGCCTCAGAGGACTTTTGGGGTGCCTGGCAGAGCCTTGCAGGCTGAATTCCCTGCAGCAGAGCAGCCTGCCTTCAGACTACAGATCAGCTCTTTGCCAGGTACTGCAATTGCCCCAGAGTCACAGGTTTGCTTTTCCCTTGGCAGAAACCAAGGAGCATCTGCAAGCAGCTGCCATCCGGAGCCAGCAACAGCACTGGAGGACAGCCCTCGAGCCCAGGCTGCTGGGGCGCGCCACGAGTCCAGGCTCTCCTCCTGAACTGCTAACAAATTTATAACCAACTGCTGCAGAGCGGGCACAGAGGGAGATCTGTAACACGTACTCACCGGCGGGTTACGCACACACGGCCCAAACTGCTGGGTGACAGTCAAGCACAAGTCCCAGAATGTTTAACCTGCATAAAGGGCTTTAAGTTTAAAATGAAACGAAATAAAAACAGCATTTAACTGCGCAGACAGCTTGCTACCACCTCTGGTGGCCAAGCCAAAAGTATTAGGTAGAGTTAACTTTGGCTGACACCGCAGCATTTACTGTTTAATTTCCTGATACTTAAAAAATAATTTTTTAAAAATATCTGTATCTTGAATATATCTGTGTTACTGGGAACAGCTCCGTATTTCTTTAACAACAGCTGTGTTTTTGAATTCACATTTCACAGATTTTTCTGCTTCTGAACTCAACTCCATACAGCAGCACCCACAGCATCTTGGCAAAAACCTCCCTCCCTTGGACAAATATGTCACCAGACATTGCTGGCAGTCTGTCCTCTCGCAGATAACTTGCATGCCAAGCTAAGAATAGGATTAGCTGCTTCTCTAGCTGCTTTGTCCAGGTGCCTGCAGAAGGCCTTTTGGCGTGGCAGCCCAGATCCTCAGCAAGACTGCAGGACCAGGCCTCATCTCTAGCAAGTTATTAGGAAGTGTGTGTGGGTGTTTGGGTCAAACACATCAAAAGTCAGTGCTAAGCATCAGACTTTAGCTGCCTGGTGATACCTGGCTCATGTGACACACAAAAAAAACCTCCCCAGATATTTTATTATGGGACTTTCAAAGCATTACAGCTTCCTCTGAACTATCTGGCTTTAGCTGTCACCACACACACACACACAAAACAAAACAACAACAAAAAAAACCCACATGTGAATTATAGAGATCAGTGGTATGGCCTAAGGCACAACTTTTTTTTAGACACACATGCCTACAACTCTTATGTACCTTCTGCAGTGCACAAACAGCCCCATTTATACATATAATTAAAAAGTAAAACACTTCAGGAAAGCAAGCCTTCACTGGAGAGCCAGATGCAGCCCAAGAGTGCTCGGAAGAGTCATGAACAGTATTTGTCATAAAACATTTACAAGAGGTCCTAAAGCTTCATGGTCTTTTGTAGTGTTCTGCAAAACATCACTTTTCTTTAATTGTGAACATATCAAGTGGCGTGAGATAAAAGGTCATACTCCTCGAAGAGATGTCCGTGTGGCAACAAGGAGGATTTTTGTGCAGGAACCAAACGGTTACATGAGGCACAAAGCACAGAGGAAGGTTATGGGCACGCCAGGCTGCAGAAGAAGGCACGTGAGAGAGGCGGAGGCATCGGGAGAAGAGGTGCTGGACCCTGAGCTGGAGAAACCAGAGCTGGAGTTCACCACGGTAAGGCCACCTGAGAGTCCTGAGAGGCTGCAGTGAAGGAAGAGGACAGCTGGGAAGAAACCAGTGACTCCCCCAGCAATCTGAAGTGGTTTCAGCCACGAGTAGAAGAGAAGCACTTCTCAGCAGCAATCTGGTGCGTGTGTAGCGTGCACGGGCTGTGTGGAGGCAGCACGGCACGGTGGTTACCCAGAATTTAGCCATTTTCATTCCCTGCTCTACCTTCACTTCCTCTTACTGCTTCTAGAGGAATCTGCAGCCTCTTTGCTGATACGCAGAGGCAAAACTGGAAGAAAATAACCACATGCAAAAATATCCACGTTGTCAAGTGGAGGCTTCCTCTCTCTGTGTGCCTGTGACTAAGTAATTCCCCTCCCATTGTGTCCCTGGGACACTGATTGTCCCCCAGAACAAGTGGCCGGTCGGTCAGACGCCTCTGATGCTGCTCCAGCCCTGCCACCAGCTTGCCAAGCACGCACATTGCGACCTCCAAACCAGCCCACGTCCCCATCTTATCCCTGATCCGATATCTCCCTGTTGCTTTTTTTTTTATTATTATTATTATTTTTTCCTTACGTGACAACGTGCCGTGCCCAGGGTCCAAAGTTTCACTGGGGACACAAACCCACCTAGGACAGAAAACAAAGCTGGAGGGCCCATGGCTTGGCCCGACGCCGGGCAAGATAAGCAGCAGGGAGGTGCATGGCTGTCAGCATCGAGGTCTGCTGTGGCCAGCACCTCTTCCCTGCTGTGCCACGCGGAGCAGGCAGGAGCTGGTGTCACCTACACGCAGGCAGCACGGACTGTGGTAAGAGGCTGAAATTGTCGAGGTGAGAAGCAAGATGCAGACAAAAAGGTTTGGGGGACACCGGTTCAGTTAAACGAGCGTTTCCAGCAGGTAGGAGGAAGGGATAGAAAAGTGACCTTTTCCCATTAAGAATTACATATTTGTTTTGTTTCCCTACAAGTTATTTTTTCTGGCATTGTGACACATAAAACATTTTGAACTTTCTAAGGAAACTGTTATTAAAGCACTGAACATTACAGTGAGGGTGCGTTTGAAAAACAGAACAATTAGGCATTTCAAAGTTTATCTAACTTAGTCACCAGTACCCTTCAGCTCTGGCACAATTCAACACAAGTTTGGGGGCCAGTTTAATGATCCTTGCCTATGATGCCCTGCATATAGGAAGGAGACCTCTTGAAAATCTCTCATTGTCTATAAATCACCCCCCACCTCCCTCTGGCAGCCTGCTGGCACACACCCTGGCGAAAGAAGGCTTTCCTTCCAAGAGGAGGGCATTTTGTTCAGAGATCAAGAGCTCAAACCCACAGGACCTCTGTGGGGCTAGGGGTCCAGCAGCCCCAGGTCCTCACACGGAGCCACAACGCTGGCAAAGCAACCACAGAAACCGAGCCCGCGGGGCAGGACGTGAGGCTGTGTTCTTTGCTTTCATTATAATTCACCGCCCCAGCTCAACTTCCACCAAGTTCCCCAGAAAAAAAAATGTGCAGAGCTACTGCCAATATTAAAGGCTCTCCAAAAATTCAGCCAGACAGAAGAGGAAATTCCTTGCCACATGGAAAGTCTGGAGGAGGGGTTCCTGCTAGATAATGGGAAAGATGCTTAATGTGGCCGGGCTTGGGTCAGCCTTTCCCTTAGCCACTTGCACAGGCTTTTCTAAGGTTTTCAAGGGGAAAGAATAGGCCAGGTCTGTCTGCTTCTCTCCCTTTTATTTTTAGCTGTTGTGTGCCACACCTCTGCTATGCAAAGTGCTGTTATCTCATCCGCAGATAGGGACATCAGGCACCCGCGGCCCTCAATGGAAATCCTGCTGAAGTCAATAGGAGCTCTCCTATTGGTATCAAGGGACTGGCTGGACAGAAAGGCAATTGTTAAAAAGTGCAGAAGAATTAGAAAGGAAGCATGTTTCACTCAAGTAGAAAACTATATTCTTCCAAGTCGCTCTACGAGCACGGGAATGGGGAATTCATTAGCTTGTCCCTACTGTGAGGGTGCTGCAGGGTAGGACTTTGCTACATTTCATGCAGCTTATGTAAGCCAATCCATCCTGTCTCATCTGAAGCCAAATCACCTTTCCCCCCTTTAAAAGAAAAGGCAGAAAGCCTATTTGAATGTTGTTCAAGGCCTTGCAGAGCACAGAGCACCGCGGTGAAGATGTTATCATGCTATGCCAGGAACGCGAGGCATCCCTGACCAGAAACGCTTCAGAGCCACAGCGTGTAGAGATAAGCACCACCACCATGGCATCACACTGCTTGCTAATGTCTCTTAGCACCAAACCCAGGGGTAAATATGGGTGATGAAAGGACACGGCCTGTGGTTTTTCACCCAGAAGCAGACAAGAATGGAGCAGGCGTGGCTGTACATGACCGAGGCCTGGTGTGCAGCCCCGGCCGGCCTGCACGTGGCGGCTATTTCAGTTTGACAAGAGGTGCCCGTACCACGGAGGGACAGGCCTGTGGCAGCACGACGTTGGTGGGCACTGCCAAAAGTGCTGCCAAAATAAGGGGTCACTGCTGGAAGCACTGCACATCACAGATGCAGGCTGAAATGCACAGAGGGGGAAGAGGAGATTTGGTACACAGAGGGACTGAAGCATGCTGTTTACACAACTATGCAAAGAAAGGTTTCTTCTGGAGATTTTGGGTAGAAAAAAAATCATTTCCCTCCCTGGATACCATACTTTCCTCTTCAAAAATAACATAAAATGTATCTCAGAACTATGATTTCAGAATTTCCACAACATCAGGTACATCCTGGATCAGATGGCTCTGACTGAGGTTTTAGATGGTTGAGGCTGGGGTTTTACAGCTGTCCCCACCTCAAAACACCAACTTTAACCCAAGCTCAGATTTTGTGGCAAACAGCAAGGCTAGAATTCTACAAACAGGGTCCCATCTCCTGACAGGTTTAAACAAACAAGTAAAACACAATAAGCAAATCCATGGAGACATCGTACCATGCAGGAGGGAACTGCAGACACCTTTAGAACCCCAAATCCAAACTTAGACCCCAAATAACAAGGATTTCCAAAGAAACCTATTGCTTTCATTCCCATTCAACGTTAAAAGTCTTTTCCATACAGGAAAAGAATCTATTTATGTTTCATTAGTGCCAGTTTTGAATATACCAATAGGCTGTGTGTATATAGGAGAGAGGGGAGTATGCTATGCAGCTGTGAGCTTTCTTGGCTAATTACTTGTTTTCTCTTTCTGAGCAAAATAAATACTACAACAAAATTCAACAGGGCATAACAGCACGTCTATTAAGGCTGTACATTTTCCATCAGACTCCACTGGTATTTGTCTTAGCCACGCTTAGGCTAAGAAACCCCATCTATGGTATCATTCATAAATAGGAGGTGCAAAGACCTGCCCAAATACATGCTCTAAAACAAATAAAATAATACCCTGACTTGACACACAGCAACACAAGGTAGAGATGCCAGAAAGCCAGTTAAACAGACGTTAAAGTAATTAAGAAATAATTCCTTCTTCAGCATCAGCAGCATCAAAACATTTTGTTCTCAATATGGAAGCCTGTTACATCTGGTCAAATTTTTAGTTCAGAAAGATCTTTAGAAAAACCTTTAGGGAGATTTTATAGAAAATCTGAGCCCAAGGTGTGTTACCACTACAGTTTATTTCAATCTTAGTTTTGGTAGCTGAAAAATGTTCAATGTTCTAAAAATGCATCTGGAGTTCAAAATTCCGAAAATGCATTAAAACTGTGATTTTAAAACAAAACCATTGCACTTAATACCCTCGAGTTTAACAATATTCTGGACACCAGCTGAATTAAAAAGCTTACAAATGAAACAAAAGGAAGTTTTTATGTATGATTTGCAAACACTAACCTTCTAAATCTCAGACTGTAGCATGGCGTACTTGCACTAAAAAAATAACAGATATTTCAGGTCCCCGGCTGCCAACTGGCAAAAACTGCTGCTGTTCATATACTTTGGAAACAGGTCCCAGACTTGTCCTCAAAGCAGACGGATTTGTGCATGATTGCCTCATGGAACAATGATTTAATACAAATTCTTGAAACTCTTACAGATTTTACTTGCAAGTCACCTTTCAGAGGTTGGCTCTGAAGTCACATACGTCCTATTTTAAAGTTAGATGAACAATTCATATGTATAAATTTTCCCATGCATAAGGGTTTGGGAGAGAAATTAATATTTAAAGGTGAAAATTAAATATCTTTAATCACCTGTCCATACTCCAGCTATTTTCCTTTGCAGAAAAGACCATCGTCAAAAAATGTTTAAATTAAGTTATAAATTAGAAAACAGAAAAGGAAATATTTTCCATATGTTTAATTTTACACCATAATTATTTATTAACCAAGCCTACAGATACATGCTGTTACTCTATGGGAGTTCAAACAATACACTTACTGTTTGAAATATGCTCTTCCATTTGCCTCTAACTGGAGACATT